GTTGCTCTCTTCTCCTTAAGAGTGGAGCAGCTCCTGCATGGAGTGATTTAGGAAAACAAGGAGAGGAGGCAAAGAGCTCTCTGAGCTGCTGAATATTTTCCCTCACATGGACAAGGGGCAGAGGGCTGTGAGCACTGGGTGCTGCTCCAGCAGGTGGATGGTTTCCCTTCCAGAACCAGTCTGGTGGGATTTTTCCCAGCTCAAAGTGGGAAAAAAACTCTTTTAGCCCCAGATTTTCCTGGGAAGCTCCTGGAGTTGGAGTCATCGAGCACAAACTTTTGACTCTCCAGAATCTCCTCCCCTGTCCCAGCACCCTCAGTCACATCCTGGGGTGGGAATTGTGCAGCTGATTCCCCTGATCCAAGATTTCCCCTGGGGAAAGAAAATCCTTTTATCCTCCCCCAGGCACGACCTGTCAGGGTGACTCGGTAAAGGAAGGGCACAAGGAAGAGCAGAGTTGCCCAATTTTTTTATTTTTCCCCCTCTCCAGGGTGATTTAAAAGGCTGAAAGCAAAATCTGCCCGAGTTTGTGTCCCCTGAGTGTCACAGGGGGGTCACAGCACAGGGGACATTCACAGGAGGTGTCACCTCGTTTTTATCCTCAACCCCTGGGACCATCACTGCTCCTCATCAGCTCTCCCTTAATGAGCTGTTCCAATTACCCATCCCAAAATCCTCATTATCCGAAGCTCAGGCATCTTTTGCCAGGAATTTTCTGTCATAGCTACAAAAGAAAATGGAATTACATGTAATAGTAAGACAAATTAAATAATATTTAATAGTAGGACAAATTAAACCCAGTCAGATTAAATGACCAGGCTACTTAAATGATGCTTACCCAGGGCAAAGAACACAGAAAAAAAAATTAATGTTTCTGCCAGCTTTGAAATAGAATCCTGATAAACAAATCCTTTTTCATGACATCCATTTATTAATTGTTAGTATTATTATCATTATGAACTTTAGATTTCTCTCCCTGACCTCAGTGGTTCTGCCACAGAGCTCCCTGATTTTATCCCACAGATGGCTGAATTATTGTGACAAATAAAGTGAATCCACAGGTTTATTGGGCCTCGGGGTATGAAAACCACTCTGGAAATAAAAGAGAGGGAAAAAAAAA